CAATTGGAAATATTGGATTTGAAAAATAGAATAGTTGAAACAAACATCTTAATGGATATGCTAAACTGCAGGAAAGATAAAGCTGAAGAATGCATCACTGAGCTGGGAGATTCCTGAAAGCTGGAAAGCCTCAAGAAGGTAGACAAAGAGCTTTTAAAAGAAAAGCGAAGAGGTGAGGAGAGTGGAATAGCAATGTCAGCATCCTCATAATAGGAGTTTCAGAAGAAAACAAATAAACGTAGGGGAAGAAATATTTAAACAAATAATGACCTAGAATTTCCCCCAAATTAAAGAAAGATAAAAGACTGGGAGGGCTTGTGAAGTGCCACATGGGCTATATTGGGAAAAAAGGCCTATATTCATTTCAGTGAAATTAATAACACAAAGAGAACATTTGGAAAGGTTCTGGAGGGAAAAAGCAAAATACCTAAAAAGGAGTAGGAGTTGATTGATCACAGACTTCTCAACAACAGCTCTGGATGAGCTTCCTCTCTCTCATTCCATCAAGCGAGGATACAGTGAGAAGTCGGCCATCTGCAATCTAGAAGCCACAGTCTTTTTATAACTTAATCTCAGAAGCAATATCCCATCACTTCTTCTGTACTCTATAAGTTAGAAGTGAGTCAGTAAGTCCAGCCCAAACTCAAGAGGAGGCTATTATAAAGGGCATGAATGCCAGGAGATAGGGGGTCATTAGGGTCGTCTTATAGACTACCTACTACAGCATCTAAAAGTACCATCCATCCATCTAAGAATGCGTCAGATCATAAAGAAAGACATGAAAAACTGTGGATAGGGCAAGAGCATTGTAAAGATCATATTTCCCCAAAATTAGTGAAATTCCAGGAGAACATTTTAGGAACATGATAGTTATTTTTTCTAATACATATACAGGAGATTAAATATTCTCAAATAGCCAAGTCAATTTTGAAAAAGCAGAGCAAAGAGGAGGAATTTTGCCATACCAGCTCTCAAGACATTCTACAAAGCCGTAATTACAAAAACTGCGTGATGCAGATACTGGAATAGAGAAAGAGATCAAGGAAAGAGAAATAGGAGCCCAGAAAACTATATGTGTAAATTTGATATATGATAAATATCCCAATGTAATTCAGTGGTGGAAAAGATGACGTGTGTTGGGACAACTGGTTCATACATGGAGAAAAACAAAGATGGAGTCTTATTTCATATTGTAAACAAAGGTGAACTCCAGATAGATTAAAGCCTAAATATGAAATTCGTGATGGTGTGGGAGAAGGTATTTGCAATGTCTAAAAGCAACAGTGGATTAATATCTAGGATATAAAGTACAAGGAAATCCTGTGAATCAGCCCCAAAGGAAAAAGAAACCAGTTAAAAAATGGGTGTGATGCAGGGGCCCGCCTGGTGTCCTAGTGGTTAAGTTCTTGTGTTCCACTTCGGAGCCTGGGGTTCACAGGTTTAGTTCCTCGGTGCGGACCTAACACCGCTTGTCAAGCCATGCTGTGGTGGTGTCCCATATAAAGTAGAGGAAGATTGGCACAGATGTTATCTCAGTGACAATCTTCCTCAAGCAAAAAGAGGAAGATTGGCAACAGATGTTAGCTCAGGGCCAACCCGCCTCACCAGACATAAAAAAGAAAGAAAGAAAAAAAGTAGGCATGAAGTATGAACAGGAAATATACATGAGAGGGAAAATGTGGACGTCTAATAAGAATATGACAAGATGTTACACCTCATGAGAAATCAGAGAAAGGAAAGGGGCCGGCCCTATGGACAAGTGGTTAAGTTTGCGCTCTCCGCTTTGGCGGCCCAGGGTTACGCCAGTTAAGATCCTGAGTGTGGACCTAGCACCGCCCATCAAGCCGTTCTGAGGTGGCATCCCACATGCCACAACTAGAAGGACCTACAACTAGAATGTGCAACTACCTGCTGGGGAGCTTTGGGGAGAAGAAGAAACAAACAAGCAAATACTGGCAACAGATGTTAGCTCAGAGCCAATCTTTAAAAAATAAGAAAAGAAAAAGAAAAACCACTAAATGAGATACGACTTTATAACCATAAAGCTTGGCAAAAATTAGAACAGTGAATAATACCAAGCAGAGATGAAGACATGTTATAAGATAGTCACGCAACTGGTTTTGGTGTCAACAGATTCAGCCACTCCAATGGGCAGCCTGTAAACACTTAGTGACATAAAATGTGTAGGGTACATGTTTGTGAGCAAACTCCAGCCAGGAGTATACTGGGGCTTTTGCTCATCTCTGGGGAAGATCAGCTTCTATTTTCATCACGCGCCACTCTACGCTACTGCCAAGTCATGTCTAGGGCTCTGGGCCCCAGTCCACTGAGTCAACTTCCCTGCCAAAACAATGGACGGGTGGGAAGAAGTAGGTATCCCTTTTGTGTATTCAGTGCATCTCTTGAAGGCAAATGTATACATTGTTTTCTTCAGCAATCACGGAGCGTGTCAAATGCTTTTACTCCTTCCATCCTCACAAGGCCCTCTGAAATGGGTACTATTGTGATCATGCCCATTTTTATAGATGAGAAAACTGTGGTACAGAGGAGGGAAAGTGGCCTGTCCACGTCACACAGCTAATAAGTGGAAGAGCTGGGACCTGAACCCAGGCAGTTTAACTCCAGAACCATCCAACACCCCTGACCATCATGCAACACTTTCTTTCTATCCTCCCCATCCACAATGTGGGGTATTTTTCCATTTATTTGAATCTTTGCCACTTTCAGTAAAATTTTTGTAACTTTAAAAATAGATTATATACAATTTTTGGTAGAGTGTTTTCAGGGTATTTTGAGGGTTTTTCTTTTTATGGTTGAATATATGGTGGAATTCTTTTTTTTTTTTAGGAAATTAGCCCTGAGCTAACATCTGCCACCAATCCTCCTCTCTTTGCTGAGGAAGACTGGCCCTGAGCCAACATCCATGCCCACCCTCCTCCACCCCACATGTGTGACGCCCACCACAGCATGGCCTGCCAAGTGGTGCCATGTCCGCACCCGGGATCCGAACCGGTGATCACCGAGCAGCCGAAGCAGAACGTGTGCACTTGACCACCGTGCCACTGGGCCGGCCCCATGGTGGAATTCTTAATATTATTTTTCCTGGTTATTACTTATGAACTTCAAACTTACCATTTTTCATAACTATGAATAAAGCCACAGGTGAGTGCAGAAGCACATTAGTCCCGCCCACCTCTGGAGGACAGTGAGACCCTCGTGCAGTTGTTCTGGTCTCCTCTGCTGCACTGTTTCCTGAGTGGAGAGTGGGATGTGGGCAGAAGTGCTGGCGAGAAGGCAGAGCCGGCCATTGGAGTCTGGCTGTAAAGAGCCTGTATGTTGTGCTAAGGAGTTCGGACACTCGTGGAATCAGACCTTCCAACGGAAGGGTTTAGGCAAGGATGTGAGATAATTGAATTTGTTTTTAGAAATATCTTTCTTGCAGCATTTTGCAAGGTGACTTGGGCTTAGGAAAGGCTGGTGGCAGGGAGAGCAGGGAGGTGCCACGGCAATGTTTCAGAAGAGAGAGAGTAAAAGTCCGACCTAAGGCAATAGCAGTAGGAAAAACGGCAGTGGAGAGGGTGTGCTGAGGTGAGAACCATGTCTCAGCTAGAGGCAACAGTCCTGGGTGTCTGGTTAAATGCTGGGGGGCAGGAAGAGAGACGAGGTGCAGATGTCATCAGAAAGAGTGACCTTAGGTGAAACCGGTTGCATTGGGAGTGGAGTCGGGAGGGCAGATGGCATTGGGGTGTGTTGAATGTGGCAGGAAAAGAAGTTTGCTGTTCGTTTGGTCCAGGTGCAGAGCCAGAATGACAGCCACAGAAATGCCAAAGCACGGTATAAAAACTAATGGAATCTGAAAAGGAGAGCCCTCCAGTAGAGTGGAGAATAAGGATTTGTGGGAGGTTTCTCTGGTTTGCTGGGAGAATGAGAGACGGACGAGGTCTACCTGGAGGTAGAGTTGCCATCCTTAGTAAAAAACAAACAAACAAATTCAAGTTTAACTGGGCACCGTGTATTTCATCTGACAACCGTAACAGAGGCTGCCAAAAGAAATGTCCACAGGGACCGGGAAGGTCAGCTCACGTGGCGGGTGGGCTGTGGACCAGCGGAGGGTGGTGCAGGCTGGGCGACCTGGAGCCCCTATGTCTCGTCCATGGAGCAGCTGCTGCCCAGCTCCAGCTGACTGGGTTTGCGGAGATGGCCTTGAGGATGTTTAATACTCTAACGTTTCAAAACAGAATAGAAATATGTATTTTTACAGGCAATATCGCAATTTTAAAAGGGGACAACAAATGAAAAACAAAAACATTCTGAGGCACAAACAAAGCAAGTCTGTGGGTTCCATAAGGCCTATGGGCCACTGGCTTGTAACCTCTGATCTAATCTCTAGAGAGTGGGCGGGGCAGGTTTTTAACCTGTAAATTGCCGGGCTTTGCAATGTCTGGGTAAATAGCACTTGGGTGTGGGGAAGGGGTGGCCGCAGGGGGATGATTTCCTCCTGCACAAGGTAAGACGCGGCAGCAACTCCTCCGGCCAGGACTCCAGGGTCTCGCCTCTCAGTGCCTGACACGCCCCCCTCAGCCACTCTCCCCATGGCTGGGCAGTGTTCAGAGGCCACGGGGCTGCACCCAGTGCTACCTGCTCTCGCAGGGCCTGAGAAAGGCGAGCCTCCCTACCAGCCTTTCAGGTAGCACAGCCCTTTGAAGGCTTTCATCAGAAATTTGTGGGCGGAAACTTCCCGAGGCTCGCTGAGCTTCTTGAGGCTTCTCAGCGTCAGAGGCAGAGAGTGAGTGGGTGTCTCTCTGAGAAGCAAAAAGAGAAAGAAAGAGAGAACGAAAGAGAGGTGTTTCCCTTGGCCATGGAAACTCTATAAAGAGAGAACTGGCTTCTCTTCTCTCGAGCAGTCAGCAACAGGAGTCCCCTTCTTGCCCCCTAGGCCTGCACAGGATTGAGAAGAAGGAAACTCCTTTGCTGAGGGCTGGCTTGAGTCACTGACGGCCATGCAGCAACACCTGAATTACACGTACCCCCAAATCTACTGGGTGGACAGCAGTGCCAGCTCTCCCTGGGCCTCTCCAGGGTCAGTACTCCCCTGCCCGTCCACTGTGCCAGGGAGGCCTGGGCAAAGGAGGCCGCCACCACCGCCACCACCAACACTACCACCACCGCCGCTGCCACCACCACGGCCACCTCTGCCTCCACTACCGCTGCCACCTCTGAAGAAGAGGAGTGACCACAACACAGGCCTGTGCCTCCTCATGATGTTTTTCATGGTTCTGGTGGCCCTAGTTGGAGTGGGGCTGGGGATGTTTCAGCTCTTCCACCTACAGAAGGAGCTGGCTGAACTCAGAGAGGTAAGATGGCACGTGGATTGCTATGCCCTGAGGTGCGGATGTAAGACAGCTCTGCCACAGTGGAGGGTATAGGAGTATCGGGGTCCATATGGACCACAGCCTTGCTTGCCAAGTACTTTTCAATCCTTTTTTCCTGTCTTAGAAATGGATCATTCCAGTCATTCTGTTCTATGGGCAGAGAAATGGAGGCTCAAATGAGTGAAAGGAATATTTTCTGTCTTGTAAAGGATCAATTCTTTCTCACTGGGCAAGTCAGCCTGCTGAGCCACTGCCCACCTCACAATTAGTGATTCAAGAAACAAAAGGAACTGTTGAGTCTTGCTTAGAAGTGAGTGTGTTCAAATGGCCCAACTAAAGTTCCTTGAAAATACTTAAAAATCTTGGAACTATTCCAAATCACAAAACTGAGGCATGGCGAGGCACAATTGTTGGCCAAGGTCTGAGTTAGGAGAAGTTCTGAGGTATTTAGATTCCCGTTCCAGGGCTTGGTTTATTTAACAATTCTATCTCCTTTGCTTCAAGGACCTCATATTTATTATCCATCTTTTCTTCTTCTCTTTCACCAGTCCATCAGCCAAAGCCATGTAGAATCATCTTTGGAGAAGCAAATAGGTGAGTCTTTCTCTGCACGTGTATTGAGTTTCCAAAGATAGTCTTCCAGGCTGAACCATGTTGGCGGAATGCCTTGAATTCCATCCCGTTCTTGGCCATATGTATGCTACAAGAGGAATCCTGGCTAATTCTGAATCTCTGGTCATTTTGCTTCCTTGAGCTGCCCTAAAATATGAAGTTAAGTTAATTGTTCAAAATCAGTGTAGTTAAGTACTGCACTTGATTAAAAATAATTTCCACTTGACTTTGGGAAGAGGCACACATATACAACGTTAGATCTTTGCCCTCTGAGCAGCTGGCTCCAGGCCTGTCCCCTTCCTCAGGCCTCCTGGTTCCTGTATACAAAGCAGTGGCTGGAACTCCTCGGGAGAGAGGGAGAAGTGGGGGCAGAGAAAGACGTTTCCGGGAAAAGTCTTCTCCTCTTTAAGCTCTCTAAGAGATGACTTTAAGAGTCAAGCTTTATTCCAAAAATATTTTATAGGATATATCTAAGCTTTTAAAAAGTGGGCAACCAGTCATTCACCTTAGGATGGCTCTTTTGCAGTCACTGGAAGGCATGAGGGAAGACTTTACATTACTCAAGGGGCAGCCCAGTTTCACTTACAAAGGCACTTGTGAACTACTTTGGATAATAAAGGAAAATCCTTTAGATGAAATCCAGGACAAGAAGAATATGAAAATGTGGAATAGTGACTTCGTGAAGTTTCAGGATATAGTTTCGGAAACTGTGGACAGAGAGATTTAGGATACTCCAGCTCATTAGACTAATTCATTGAACTTTAGATTTGGTAAGTGTTGGAAGGGAGCTTAAAGAGCATCTGGTCTAGTCATCTCATTTTTCAGAAGAGAAACAAAATGCCAGACAGATTAGGTGATATTCCCAAGACCACTGGTGTGGAACTGGGGCTAAAAGGAACACAAGCCTTGATGCCTTGTCAGCTACAGGGCTTTCCAGTGTATGGACCGGTGCCTCATTAAATAGGGAAACTCTCATCCCTCTGATGGCTATGGAATGAGAAATAAAAATGACAAGCAAGATGTCTCTGCAAAAACCATAGGCAAATCTCATCCTTAGAAACTGGGAAGAAAACAGAAGGCCGCACTGGTCACCAGCAAGGAGAACCTGTTCCGATTTCTCAGGATGTGACCAAGTCATACGCCCTAGAATGTCAGCTCTTGTAGAAGCCATCCTGAGGATGGTTGGGTCCCCGGTTCTGGATCTGAGTTCCTATGTGTTAGAAAGTTCAGATGTACAAAAGCAGAGTAGAAATATTTGTTAGAAAATAAAGCCCCTGGAGGATTTCTAAAATAAAATAGCTTGAAAATCAGTGGAATGTGGCTGGTGAAACAGGTACCTAATTACTCATCTCTCACCCACTCTCTGGAGTCATTTTAGTAATTAAAAGTCAAGTGAACAGATGAGTCAGGTCTACCTACCACACTATCTTCTCTAGATCAACCCAGATGGATCAGAAATTGGTGAATTATCACATGGAAATCGAATCAGCAATTTTACTGATAAGATAATAGATGCAAATTAAAGCAAGGATATACCTATTTTTAGCCATCAAATTAGTAAAGATTAAAAAGAAAAAAAACCCCACATTGGAAAAAATGTAAGAAAAAGGGTCTGCTTAAGCATTAGCTGACAGCCAGTGGGCATGTAAATTGCTATAACTTTTCTGAAGAGTAGTTTGGAAAAATATATCAAAAGACTAAAGCTGTTAATCCACCTGGTAATCTTATCACAATGTATTTATTTTAAAAAAATAATCAGAGATGTGCTTGAAAATTTGTATATAAGGATGCGCATGACTTCCTTATAAGGCTATTTATGACAAACAATTCAGAAAAAACTTTAATACCTCTTAATAGGAGATTAGTGAAATAGAAAACCTATGTATTAGAACGGCACTTAATGGCACGAAGATGGTGCGTTCTATGTTGTTAGATAAAAAGACAAGTTATGAAACAGTGTGTTTAGTTTAAGATTCACTATATAAATATATGTGCATATTTTTAGTGAAAAACTAGGATTCATACTCCAACATGTTAGCAGCAATTTTTTCCTGGGAGGTACTATTATGGATTAAGCTTTCTTATTTGGGTCATTTTAATTTTCCATTTTTCCACAGTTAACACATTAAATCTTTTAGTCATTCACCAATGTTCTTGGAGTGCTTCCTATGTGCTAGGCTGGGTGTTGGGTAGCGGGAGATGACTAAGAATAAGAGAGACAAGGGGTCTTTACTCACGGAGCTTTTAGTACACTGGAGAAGATAAACAAAAGCAAGCAAACGGACAGCATAATTTCAAATTACACTAAGTGCAACCTAAGATAGAGTGGGTCTGGAAAGTCCCCTCTAAGAAGGTCTTGTTTGTGTGTGTGTGTGTGTGTATGTGTGTGGGGCAGAGTGGGAGGACAGGTGAAAGCATCCAGCACTGAGAATGGCATGTGCAAAGACCTTGGGGCAGGAATCAGTCACCACCAAAGTGTAGGATATATTTCTAGTTTATTTATTCCAGTATTTACCCAGCAGATATTTTTACTGTGTGCCTTCTATGAGACTAACACTGTACAAGGCTCTGCAAAGGATACAAAGATATGCAACATGCGGTTCTCTGTTCCATTTCCTGTCAGTATGTGGCTGAATGCCAGATATCTGCACAGAGGGTTTGTGGTGTAGGAATGGAGAGGAGATGCAGCCTTGTCTTTCCTGTTCTCTAACACCGCATTCATGATGAGTGGTCTTAGGTGGCTACACTGGGGATGATTGCTCAGGAGATATTCTCAGTTGATTGGGGCCTCCTCGTGCTGTAGGTGAGAAGGCTTAATCACTACAGGCCTGATGGGGACCAACACCTGTCCACAAATCTTTCTCGAATGTCTTGGTTTGCTAAGTGGTAACTCTATTTGGTTGAAATAATTGAAGTCAGAGAAATAGTGTCTATTTTCAGAACTATTGTCTATTTTAACTCCTTCAATTTAATTTAGCAAACATTTACTGGACACATGCTCTGTGTTAGAAACTGAGCTAAAAACTCTGAGGGATTAAGCATACAGTAAGGAATTGGCTGTTTGTTGGGGGAACTAAGACAAGTCACACAGTTACCACAGAAAAGAGAGTCAGGGCCAATAAGAGGTGAAGACAGGTGATTCTAGATTTCAAAGGAGGGAAAAATCATATGTGATTAAGAAGGCTTGGGCGGATTTCCCAAAGAAAGAGCTATTTCAGATGGTGTTTATAGGGTTGATAGGAATTTGACACAGAGATCTGTTTGGGAGGCCAATCTGGGCAGAAGGAACAGCGTGAGCAAAGGCACAGAGGTAGGAAAGCTGAGTACATTCAGGTCACACCAGAACCCCTGACATGTGGCAGTGTCCAGTGTGAGGGAGGAGAGCTGATAAGGCTGGACAGTTGGGTGGAAGTCACGTGGTGGGGGAGACTTATACCCAATTACACGTTCAACTAGGAGCCATTCAAGGTCTTTGAGACTTTAGGTGAATTAATTTGCGGCAAATCGTAGAATGCCACTGGGGGCAGACCTAGGGGCCAGGAGGTGAATTAGCAGTCTTCTTCGGCCTCTGTCCTGTAGAGTTCTGAGGGCAGACGAGCCAGAGTGGAAGGAACTCTGGATTTGGAGGCAGGAGACCTGAGTGTGGGGCCCACTCTGCCACTGAGTAGCTGGGTCTTCTTGGACAAGTCACCCAACTTCTAAGCTCATTTTGCCACCTATAAGGAGGGGCAATAATCTCTATCTGGAAGGGATGTAGCAAGTTCTAAATACAGTAACTGATAGGACAGTTCTGTATAAATCAACCTTTATATTGTTTTATCGCAACATTATAATTTATGCATGTATCTACCTTAATTTGGTTTGTTTTGTTACCTCTCTGTTTCTGAAATACAGGCAGCTGTGAGTTTTCCAGTTTAGACTTGCAGGATTAGAATATGTTTGACTGTTGCCATTTATGCTTTGAAAAGATATCTTTTATTTAAATGCTCTGTTTAGAGTCCCACCAAAAGAACAGTTGGTATCTCATTTTTACCTATATCTTTCATCTCTCTGATACAGGTCACCCGAATCCACCCTCTGAAAAAAAGGAGCCAAGGAAAGTGGCCCATTTAACAGGTCTGTATCTGGAGGGTATGGGCTGGGCGCGGCAGGGGGGCGGTCCTCGGGAAAGACTTTGGCAGAAAGCAGAACAGCTGATTGCTTTCCATTACTGTGCTCTGAGGGAGCTGTGACTTTCCAGCAACAGTGTTTGAAACCCCAAAGTAGTTGCATCTCTCTGGTCAACCTCACACACATTCTGAGCCCCTGCTCTGGGCAAGGCCCTGGTCTAAATTGGAGAAGCAGAGTTGATGATGAAATGATGCTGCCCGTAAGGAGCTCAGTCTTTTCGATCATTCTCCACTCTTATAGAATTTGGGACACAGATCCAAGAGGTGAGAGCTGGGAAGGTAGGAATAATAAATTATTTTACTGAGTGCTTCCCTTGTTTTCTGGAAGAGCTTCAGTCTGCTTTGTCCAAGAGTAGAAATAGGAGTGAGAAGAGAGGTCTAGGCCTGACCCCAGTGGACTTTCAGCATGTGGTCATGGAGTGGAGTGAAATGATTTGATAGCAATATGGTATGGGCACTCCCACTGTAAAGTCTATAAATATCTGAAAAGTATCACACAAAGTGGTATGCCGCTGGCCCTGGAATTATTTAAGCAGAGGCTGTAGAATGATCCAGTTTGGATCAACAGATATTTATTGAGCACATGCTGTGTGCCAAGCCTTGGGAATGTGAAGATGAATAAAAAATGGTTCCTGACTTCAAGGAGCTTAAAATCTAGTAGGGAAAGACAGGTGCATAAGTGATAATTTCAGTATTGGAGACAGTTCTCTGCTTAAGGCAATTACATAATGGTGTGGGGGTATAAAGGCAACGGGGGTACCGAAGACTCCTTACTGTCGGTGAGGAGCTGGATCGCATGATCCTTAAGGTCCTTCTCAGCTTTGGAACTTTAGAGTTCCTGAGATTTGGCCTTTCCTCTCATGGAGGGACCTCAAAGCCTAACAGTTTTGGTGCTGGTTCTGAAGAGCATAGAATCTTCGTTCCAGAAAGCTAAACGCATCTCAATAATTTCTCACTGCAATTGTTTAGGGGTGTATATTATTGTCCCAGTTATGTGGATGGTAAAACTGAGACAGGCAATTGATAAAGGTGTTGAAAGAATTCAATGATGGATCGAGTCTGACGCCTCAGCCAGTTCTATATGCGCTGTGTCATTTTGGGTAAAAAATCATTTGCTCTGGAGATCCCAAAGTTTTCCCTGGAAGCTTAGTTTGTTGGCTACATGAACATTTCTGGCTGAAAGTTCCTCTTTGATTTGGTTTCAGGCAAACCCAACTCAAGATCCAACCCTCTGGAATGGGAAGACATCTATGGAATTGCCTTGGTTTCCGGGGTGAAGTATAAGAAGGGCAGCCTTGTGATCAATGACACCGGGCTGTACTTTGTGTATTCCAAAGTACACTTCCGGGGTCAGTCCTGCAACAACCAGCCCCTGAACCACAAGGTCTATATGAGGAACTCTAAGTATCACCAGGACCTGGTGCTGATGGAGGGGAAGATGATGAATTACTGCACTACTGGCCAGATGTGGGCCCGGAGCAGCTACCTGGGGGCGGTGTTCAATCTCACCAGTGCTGACCATTTGTATGTCAATGTATCTGAACTCTCTCTGGTCAGTTTTGAGGAATCTAAGACATTTTTTGGCTTGTATAAGCTCTAAGAAAAGCACTTTAGGATTTTTTCCATTATGGTTCCTTGTTATAGGCACTGAGAATATTGTCTTGAATGAGGGTCTTCTTAAGCCCACTTGAGGTCAAGTGAGAAGACGTGAACCAGGAAGACCTCAAGACCACAGGGTTCAGCAGATCTGCAATTCCTCATCTCACCTTAGGTCCGTGAGCCAGACAGGAGGAGGAATATGCATGAAGAATATAAAACCCTGGGCTTCCATGTGAAGATGCAGAGGCTAGGAAAAGCAGCTACCAGCATGTTCGACACTCATCTTAAGTGAGGCCAAGAACATTTTGGCACATTGAAAAAGACACCTATTAACTCACCTTTTGGGATGGGTCTAACGTCTACCTCAGGGGAGGCTGTCTTTTAGGTATATGGATGTGACATGAGTGTATAAGGAATGGAAGAAGAGAACTAGGCTTGCATAATAAGCTAAAGAGACTGGAAGGCCAGTGTCCCATCGGCAGCATCTTTACTTCTAAAGGCATAGCCTGAGCCACCAGGTGATGCCAACAGAGAAGCAAGGGGATCTTTTGGGAACTCAGTCCATTCTCTACACAGCGTGTATATTTCCAGTGCAATTGTAGGTGTGTGTGAGTGTGTGTGACTAGAAGAGGTACATACGTAGAGAGAATGTGGAGATTGTGAAGGATATGTTAGGAAAATATGGGTTGCATTTGGTGGCAGAGTTTGTATGCTTCCCGGCAACCAACTCTAATAGTCCTCAGAACTCTGATTGTTAGCTGTTGATACTGTTTTCCTATAATATAACGAATATTTATATACATTTTGTGCATTTCTAATGAAAAGAATACATGTAATAAAAATTATATTTTAGAATACAGATAAACATTATGAATGTACTCTTTGGAAATCACCAAGTTTTGGATTTTTTCCCTTTTATTTCTTTCCTCCATGGCTTCTTCGTTCATTATGACTTAAGACCACTTTATAAAGAATTTACTGGGATGAGAAGAACTGTGAAGCAAATCTTTGCATCTTTGCCAGACTCTCCTCCCCTCTCTATAGTCTCTTCCCTCTCCATCTTCCATTATCCAAAGTTTCCATGACCAATATTATTGCCAGTTTTAAGCTCACCCAGCTTTCAAGATATGATGACAACTTGTTTTTTTCCTGGAGTTAGGGCCATAGCATAGTGGAAAAGACATGGACTGTGGGCTATAAAATCTGAATTTGAATCTTTGTTTCTCTGCCTACTAACTATGCAGTTGCTGAGCAGGTCACTTGACCTCCTTTGGATAAAAAAGAGCTGATACATACATAAAGGATCTGACACAAAGTAGAATGCCAAAAAATGGCATCTATCATTATTAATAAACCACTCTCTGAGAGGCACTTCATCCTCCAGAAGAAGCCCCTGATCTGGGGGATCCTTCCAAACGTCTGGTTTCTTGCATTCTCACATTTGTCGCTCACAGTCACCTTTTCCTATTTTCTTCAACCACCCACTACCGTGGACCCCGTAGACTATGTCGTCATTAAAATTACAGTGTTGCCTTTAGAATTTGATGTCAGCCATCTTATTCTCATAACATTATCTCCTATTATTCCAGCTCAATTACTCCAACATTTTCTCTCTTATAATATATGTATATTTTTTTTACCACACTAAGACTTTCTTACATATCTATCAGCTCATTCTTTAGCTTTACTCCTCTCTCCGTCCAACTTAGATTCTACCATCTGTCATTACCATCAGTACCTTGGAAATTTCCTCAGCTACAAAATATCCTGCTTCCTTCACTGTATCCCTCTTCCAGAAATTCCATTTTCTTTAAGCTGACATCCTAGCAGCTGGAAGTTGCTGGAAAAATTACCCAAACAGACTGATTGATTTCATTTTATTTTTATCCATAATCTACTTAAACAGATCACTCAATTGTTTACCTATTCACTGATTCACTTCTATCTTTTGGTTGATTTGAATAGGTGTTACATGTACATAGTACAAATTGTAAAAGTACACAAAGATGTAGGATGAAAAGAATTCCTCTTCTTACCCTGTCCCATGGCCCCATTTCTGCCTATAAAGAGGATCAGTGTCTCCTTATGTAGCTTTCCAGAGATGATCTCTACACAAATCTGACATCATTTTACACAGAGTTTCCCAACCTCGCTTCTATTGACATCCTGAGCTAAATAATTCTTTGTTGAGGGAGCTGTCCTGTGCTTTGCAGTATATTCCTGCCCCCACTACCTACTAGATGCCAGTAACATTTTCCCCTCCTCCATGTGTGATAACCAGAAATATCTCCAGACATTGCTAAATGTTGCCAGGCTGGGGGTGGGGAGAAAAATCACCCCCAATTGAGAAGCCCTGCTTTACATTAGTGATGACAGATCTCAAATGGGCATTCAACACTGCCCAGAAATTTGTCTCCAGTTCCCTGATAAGCGTATATATATATTTTTTCTTTTTATTAAGACTATGATAGTTTACAACCTTGTGAAATTTCAGTTGTACATTACTGTTAGTCATGTTGTAGGTGCACCCCTTCATCCTTTGTGCCCTTCCCCCCCCCCCATTCCCTTGGTAACCACCAATCAGTTCTCTTTGTCTATATGTTAACTTCCACCTATGAGTGGAGTCATACAGAGTTCATCTTTCTTTATCTGGCTTATTTCGCTTAACATAATACCCTCAAGGTCCATCCATGTTGTTGTGAATGGGATGATTTTATCCCTTTTTATGGCTGAGTAGTATTCCACTGTATATATAAACCATATCTTCTTTATCCAATCATCAGTTGATGGGCACTGAGGTTGCTTCCACGTTGGCTATTGTAAATAATGCTGCAATGAACATAGGGGTGCATGGGACTTTTGGAATTGCTGATTTCAAGTTCTTTGGATAGATACCCAGTAGTGGGATGGCTGGGTCATAAGGTATTTCTATTTTTAATTTTTTGAGAACCAGGTAAGCATATTTTTTCAGTGTTTGTGACAATTATCATATCTTTTCCTCTTGCAAACCAGCCATATCCCCTCCTCCCATCATAGGACCTCGCTTCTACCACCAAAACACAATTCCACCTGTATCTGAAAGACCTCTTTCTTTCATCTGCACAGTGGAGGCAGAGGACCAGCCCTCCATTTGTGCACTAGACTCATTCTGTTTTCCCTGCTTTACCCCTTTAAAAACTTTCTTCTCTATTCTGCATCCTCAGATATTCCTGTCTATGAAATCAATTCCACTAGCACGTATATACGTTCAACCATCGCCTTTCAACAAAAGACAAACCAAACCAAAAAAACCCCCAAACCTTTCTTTGCCTTCTTCCTTCTCCAGCAGTGGTTGCATTTCTCATTTTCCCTGGAGAGACTAGCATCTGAGAAGGCTGTCTCCACACACAGGGGCTCCATTTCCTTAATCATCAATGCTCTTCTGCAGGCTCCTCACATGGCTGACTTCTTACCTTTCAGGATTTAGTTTAGATGCCACCTCCTCAGACCATCCTAGAGCCTTCTCTTTTATTCGTTATTTATTACTGTTTATTTCCTTCTTAGTAGTTATCATAACTTGTGGTTATATGGTTTATTTGACCACTGAAAAAATATCTGGGTTTTTCCCACTCGAATAAAAGTTCCAAAAGCAAGTCCATTTCTGCCTTGTTAACCACTGTATCCACATCACCTAACCCAGTGCCTGTCACGTATTAGAAACTCAATAAATATTTGTTGACTGAATAACCTTAATTACAAGGCAAAAGTCTCCTGGTTTTGGGTTCGTGAGTATGTTTTTGAGAGAAGTGAATCTATACTAATGTTGCCTCATGAATATATATGAGTGTTTGTTCATCATTGAGTAGATTATCCAATGGTAGTTTGAGGCTACAGATGGAAAAAAATAATTCATCCTATTTCATAGCATTGGAAAGCAGGAAAGAACAATTTAGTTCCTGGCATTACTAAGAGTTATTCAGCAGACTGTTGAAGAAAACTGTCTGGAACTAGAGCTGAAACTGTCATTTAGAAGATATTGAATAAATATTGGTTGAATAAATCAATGAGCAAAATGAATGGTCCAGGTGGGAGCGTGCCACCTGCTCTGCCTAAAATTCCTCTGTTGACTGCTCTGCTTTATGTGATCAGCTTCCTGACCAGGAACCTCATGGAGAAAATCAGAGAGGTAGCCACCCTTCTTTTGGCTGCTGGTCTGTATTCCCAGCCCTCACAATCAAATCCTCCTTATCCTTTTCCTTCTTTTTTGGCTCCAATCATCAAGTACACCAGTTGTGATGGTCATGGAAAGTTTGCTGGACCATTTTTTTGGGTCAACGGACCCTTCTAGATAATGGTACCAGAGCAAAGAGGAAGTGGGAATGGCACTGGGGCATCCTGAGATGACCTGATGCCACCAGCTAGTGGTGGTACTACCAGCAATTTCATCCATCTAAGTCTGAGCTGTCCTAGGATGTCTTTGGGATTTTCTGAAGATAGGATCATAGCTTACTATGTTTTAAGTACTAGTTTCAGGGAAGGGATATTAACAGTTCCTTTAGGAACCTTGAGTTATTTCTTATTTACCTCAGTAGGAACATAAGGAGTGTCAAAAATCTAAAACTTTTGAATGTGCTCATTAAAATAGGATCTGCCATTGTTCCTTTACAAAATGCTAAACCCAAACTAGAACACTTACAAAGAAAAAACCAAAGGGTTGCTTCTGGTTCAGCAGTTTGAGGTTTTCTTTCTTTTCAAACTACTAAAAACACACAAAACCATAGTTTTTGTTCCAGCCCCCCAGAGTGGTGACTCTGTATTCTCTGAAGTAGTTTTTGACTTACCACAGTTAAACAGGAAAAGAGCTCTACCGGGGACCATCCTCAGGAGAGAGACTAATTTGAAACACTAGCTTTTTGAAAGAGGAGAGTTGGAGAGAGAAGCCTGCCTCCTCAAAGCCAGACTATAAGATTTCCTTAAGGGGGTTGAGCCGTAGATATTCTCTGGTCCTTATCTAAGAAAGTG